CTGCTCGTACGAACTTTGTCATGTATTTTTTGACTAAGTTCAAATACTCAATGAGGTTGTCGTTTTTGGCCTGGTAGCTCCCCTGTACTTGAGAGGCGACGAGCTGGGAGTCGGTGTAGATCTGTACCTCGCGGACCCCCAGATCCTCGGCCAATCTCAGTCCTGCGAGCAGGGCTTTGTATTCTGCCTGGTTGTTTGACGTCGGGAAGGAGAGAGCTAAGGAGTGCTCGATTACTACGCCTTCTTCGTTTTCCAGAAGGATTCCGGCGCCGCTTCCGGACGAGCTGGATGCTCCGTCGACGAAGATGGTCCACTTGTGTTCTTTCCCCGGGGAAGGGTCGTGAGTGGTCATTTCCGCGACAAAGTCGGCCAACGCCTGTGCTTTCAGGGCTTTCCTACTTTCGTACTGAATGTCGAATTCGGAGAGGTCCAAGGAACATTTTAGCATTCTGCCCGCCATATCGGGCCGACCCAGGAGTTGCCTCACCGGTTGGTCGGTTCGCACGATGATCGTGTGAGCCATAAAGTAGTGTCTGAGCCTCCTCGCCGCGTTGACGAGGGCCAGAGCCACCTTTTCTATCTGCTGGTATCTGGTTTCGGGCCCATGTAGGGCCTTGCTCGTGAAGTAGACGGGTTTCTGCCCGTCGGGGGTCTCGCGGACAAGAGTTGCGCTGATGGCTTCGTTCAAAACGGCCAAGTACAAGTACATCGGCTCTCCGTCGTTTGGTCGAGATAGCACGGGCGGCTGAGACAGACTTTGCTTTAGGTGGCGTAGTGCCTGCTCGCATTCTTCATTCCATTCGAAGGTTGCTTCCTTTCGAAGGAGTTTGAAGAAGGGGAGGGCGTGCTGAGCGGATTTCGCAACGAAGCGGGACAGTGACGTGAGCATGCCGTTCGTGATTTGTATTGACTTCTTCGACGTCGGTGTTGGGAGGTCGGAGAATGCCCGGCATTTGTCGGGGTTGGCTTCAATTCCCCGTTCTGTTAGATAGAATCCGAGGAATTTCCCTGCCTTGACTCCGAAGGTACACTTCTCGGGGTTGAACCTCATTTTACACTGTCTTGCTTGGGCAAAGACTGTCTTGAGGTGTGCTGCATGGTCGGTGTCTGCTCGGGACTTGACGATCATGTCGTCCATATATACCTCGAGCATGTCGCCGATCTGTTTGTTGAAAACTCTGTTCATCATGCGCTGGTAAGTTGCTCCGACATTTTTTAGTCCGAAGGGCATTACGTTGTAGTAATAGTTGCCCGAGCTGGTCATGAATGTCGTGCAGTGTTTGTCGCCCAGGGCCATCGGGATTTGGTTATAGCCCGAGTAGGCGTCCATGAACGACAAAGTTTTGTAGCCGGCCGAGTTGTCGACCAGCATATCTATGTTAGGCAAGGGAAAAGCATCTTTCGGGCAAGCCCGGTTGAGATCAGTATAATCAACGCACATTCTCCATTTTCCATTATTCTTTTTCACGAGTACAACATTTGACAGCCAGGTGGAATACCGGGCTTCAGAAATAAAATTTGCCTCTAGGAGGTCTTTTACAGCTTTTTCAGTAGCCTCCATTTTTTTTGGAGACTGCCTACGCCTACGTTGTACTATGGCCCTAGCGGCTGGATCAATGGCGAGGTGGTGACAGGCGACCTTAGGGTGGAGTCTTGGCATCTCCGCAGCGCTCCAGGCGAACATATCAGCATTCTCGCGCAGACAGACCTTGATTTGCTTCCTGGCCAAGTCGGGGAGGTCTTTGCCAATCTTCACTCCCTTGGTCGGGTCTGTGCCGAGGGGAACGAGTTCAAAATCCCCGTCCGGTATTGGTCGGAGTGGGATTTGCTCGCTGCTGGATGGCTCGTCCTGATCGAAGCGGGTGTCCAGAGCTATGGAATCGACCTTTGGTGGAGCTTTCTGGACTTCTTCCTTGGGGGATGCTTTCCTGTCGGGCTCCTGTTTTTTCCTTTTGGCGGGTCTGGTCCCTATGTCGACGGTATCACGTCCCTTAGAAGCGGCGTTGAAGCACCTGCGGGCAGCGGCTAGGTCTCCTTGGATGGTGGCTACCCGTGCCCTCCTGGTGTAGAACTTCATCTTCAGGTGGACGGTCGAGGGCACCGCTGTTAGTTCTGCCAGTGTCGGTCTCCCCAAGATGCAGTTGTACAGAGACGGGCAGTCAATAACGAGGAAACGGACTTTGACTTGTCTTGTAGCCGTTCCTTCACCGAACGTAACCAGGAGCTTGACATATCCCCAAGGTTTGGAAGTCGAGCCGTTGAAGCCTTGTAGATCCGACCCCACATACGGAGAGAGATGTGAGTCGTCCAGCTGTAGGGTTCGGAATAGTTGGCTGTACATCACGTCGACGGAACTCCCTTCATCGACCAGAATGCGATGCACGTCAAAATTGGCCATTCTCGCCCTTATCAGTAAAGGGATGACCGCGTTCGGGGCTCCGCCGGGGAGCTCTTTTAGGTAGAAGGTGATGGGCTCTGACCTGCCTTTCACCCTTTCGAATGTTACTGTTTGCGGGGGAGCCGCGTCAACCAGCTCATCCAGCTTCCTCTTAGCTGAATTGATGGTGAGGTCGTTGAACCCGCCCCCATTAATGACCATGGCGGAGGGAAAGTATTCCCACCTGCTGTGCGTTGTCAGCGGTTCCTGCAGGTGCTCGGGAATGTCGAAGTCCTCGGGCCTGGTCACTGAGAAGGCGGTCTGGATAGGCACTGACTCGTCTGATGGTCGGGCGTCTTCTTCTGGCTCCTTGGCTTCATGGGCGTCACGACGAGGAGCGTCGTTTAGCCGGTACTGCGCGAGCCTCCCTCCCTTGATGAGGGTTTCAATGGCGTCCTTGAGGTGGACGCAGTCCTCCGTCAGATGACCATGACTCCTATGGTACTGACAGTATTTATTTTTGTCCGCCCCGAGCTTGGCGGGAGCAGGTCGGGGACGCTTGACACCGCCGTCCTTGAAGTCTGTACTAGCACACTCCGCCAGAATACGCTCGCGGGAAGCCGTGAGCGGAGTGTATTCGGTGAAACGCCCCGAAGGTCCTCTTTGTTCCCGGACTTCCCGGGGTCTGTCTTCTTTCCTTTTCTCCCTGGTTCGTCGTGGAGGAGCCTCTTGGCGGGAGTTGCTGTTGTTGGGTCCCCGAGTCCTGGAGTCTCGGGCCCTGTTAGTCGCTTCCCTCTCCTCGTAATCCATGTATGCCCGAGCTTTTTCGAGGAGGGCGTCGAAAGTCCTGGGCGGCTCGATTCCCACGGCCTTTCTGAACTCTGTGCCAGGGAGGAGCCCCCTCTCCAGCAGATATCTCTTCATGTGGTCCGTGCAGGGGACCTGTATCGCTTCTCGGTTGAAGCGGTTGATGAACTCCCTCAAGGTTTCATCCTGTCTTTGGATGATCGCCTCGAGCGCCGCCTCGGTCTTTGGATGGCGTCGAGAAGCGGTGAAGGAACTGATGAACTGGTTCTTCAGGTTCCGCCACGAGGTGATTGAGCCCGGGGCGAGTCCTTTGTACCAGTCCATGGCCGCCTTCCTGAGAGTCGTGGGGAAAAGACGGCACTTGATGGGCCCCCCGACATTATGATAATGGAGCATAGCCTCGAACCCGTCAATGTGGTCGACCGGGTCCGTGAATCCATCGTACTCCTTCAGATGTGGGGGCTTCTCCATGCCCGGGGGGATGGGTGCATCCATGATGGCCTACAACAGGGGACTGTGGGGGTCGTCCTCGTCGCTCCTCTCCGGAGACAGAGATGGCGATCTGTAGTATTGTCTGGCACGGCGGTCATGGTCATGCTGAGTCTCCCTCGAGCGTGATGCTCGTTGGTTGAATGTTACACGCTCGTCTCCGGCGTGTCTCTTGTCGTGCCTTGCCGGGTCGCGACTGGGTTCTCCGGCAGGGATGACGGGCTGTCTCTCCAAATAGGGTCGCCTCTGCTTTGGCCGGGGAGATGGGCTTCGAGAGTTTTCCCCATAGTGTCTCCGCGGGGGAGAAGGGTGTCGAGCTTCAGTCACTCGAGGAGGGGGAGTATGTGGTCTCCGATGCCTCCTCGGGGGTCTTCGCTCGTCTTCAAGCGCCTTTAATCTCTCTCTTTGGGCGAAGATGAGATAGTTCGTTTGATTAATTGCTGCGAACAACGCTTGTGTGGTGGCATCCGCCCCGGAGGGGACGGGGACTTCCTGAAACCGGGCGGCTCTGTAGTGGGCGAGGGCCGCCGGGTCGTCCTCGAGTGGTGGTGGGAGCGAGGAGGATGATGCAGTAGCTTCTTCCTATGAATAAGCGTACGATTGATAGCTTCTTCCGTAACTTCTTCTTAGTCTACCTACTCTAGAACCGGGGGGATACTCCGTGGCTTTATAGTCTTTACATCCACTTGGCCACTTGAGTCTTGGCTTGGCCACACTCTAATAAGTTCCCATCTCCTTTTTTAATTAAAAAGCTACTGGACTTGGCTTCTTTCCTGCACATAGTGTCTTATATTGAATCACATCTGCAGCGCTTACTGATTCAATCACAGAAGAAAAGATCACAGCTGATACGCATTCAATTGCTAACATCACACCGTTTACTGATTAACGTCCGACTACAGCTCGTATGAGTTCTTACGGTTGGTTGGGAAGAGTCTCAACTTAAAGGTACTACATACTTGATTAGAGAAGGAATTTCTTACTTAATGCCATGCTTTACAGACATTCTGACCAAAGCCCCGGATTAGTCACATAGGATTTTGGCTTTTCCGTTAGAATCCCATTCTATGAGGGCCGCCTCACTAGCCTTCCTATAAGGCCTTTAGAGAGGATTAAAACTCTTCGTCCGTGACTCACTGGCATTTCTTCCAGAATGAAGAGAGAGTAGAGCTATTGAAGCAGAAAGCCTATTAGGCTCGGTACGCTATAAACATCCAGTTGCCATATCTTCAAACCTATTACCGTAGGTCGACTGTCAGTAACCCTCGCTCTTTTTCGTGAAGAGTAAGTATCTAATCCTTCTGCTCTGGAAGTTGATTGAGGACTTCTATTCACTTTGATAGATGGCGTTGGAAGGAGTGGTGTCCAGGATTAATCTCAGTACCACCACACCTCTCCTTGCCCGTGGTTGGTTTAGGCCACGAGCAAAGACCAAGAAGTCTTGACCAGTAAATCCTCCAGAGACCCGGGTCCCACCTAAACTAAAACTTGAAGTCAGAGCTTTTGGTGGTTTGATCTCACCTTTATGATACTTCATATTGAGATCAAACAAAGGCCACAATATCCCAAACCTTATCAGCTCTTGATTTTAATCCTTTGCTTTCCAAGATGTTAGGACAATTGGGCCTTCAAACCATGATTCAATGGAGGTATCCGGAGAAGAGGACTGGACTGCGTACCAGGCCAAATACTTAAGCCAGGCACGGACGAGCTAGCTGGGTGAAGGGATTCCCGAGTCAAACGACTACCATACATAGCATAGAGCTGGAAGCTGCACCAGTGGACAGAGAAGACTGGACGTGAACACGAAACTGTACAGGAATAAGAATCGCCCGTCCCACTTTCCCTCTTTGAAAGAGCATAGCCCTGTAACCCCTAAAAAGAAAGAGGAAGAGAGTGTAATGCCATAAAATTTTAGATATCCTTTATAATTCTGATTACTCTAAAGAAGCGCGAGCGCTGGGCTTTTCGTGATAAAAAAACTATCCTAAACTCTCTTCTTCCGGGGATTCGGGTTAGTTGTTGACTTACAAAGAAAGGCAGATCGATTAAGATCTTCATCTTTATAAGGCATTCTAACTCTAACGATTAACGATCATAATCCTTTTATCAGGGTGCTCTTCACATTCATTCATCAGCCTGCTTCAAAATCCCTTTGCGTGCACCTTTCTACTAGTCTCATTTGAAATGAAGTTCTTCCCATTCCCCTGGGGTAAATTCCTTGGAAAAGACGCTTGAGCAGCCAGCCTTCTTGCCCAGGTCTTGGGCTAGGCTAGGAGATTGGAAGCCTCAATTCAAGTCGAGCAGCAGCTTTTCTACACTCAAAGGGAACCCGACATCCCATTAACTGAGACTTCTTATGCATAGCTGTAGCGTTTCGTCATACCCAAAGGCTACTTAGTGCCTCCACCAACTGGGAAGCTAGAGTATGAGTCAAAAAGCCCACATACACCTCCCTATATAGAGAATATCAGTCTTTAATAGGGCTACAAGGGAGAGTGTGGTCAAGGGGCTGTGGGCGAGCTTGGCCTTCGTCGGGAACAGATTGTGCCCATGATTGGGAAAGCTGCTGAGTTCGCTAGATCAAAAAATTACATTAGAAAAGTCAAAAGTCTCATGAGTCGCTGCGGGCTTATTACGAATTCCATTGTTAACATGAATCGGCCATTGTCTTTTCGGGTTCCCCCACCCAGGTGGGAAATTACTTACTTAGACTATAGCGACCCTAATAAGACATACCCACTTATCCTTAAACGAAAAAGAGGAGCACACCAACTCTATGAAGAATTCCTGGCCTTGTTACAACAATACGCTTAAAATACCCGATTAATGCTGAATTGGGGCAAAGACTAAACCAAACGAGCTCTTTGCGCCCTACGATTGCAACTGTTATGCTTGTTGGGTGGTCCTACTCTTTGAAGAGTATGGGTCGATTTCGCTTGTTTCAAAGTGAACAGACTAGACAAACTAAACGACACTCAAGCTTTAACCTACCTCATCCACCGCCCTGACGAAATTAAGTAATTCCAGATCAAGTTCGGATCCGTGGAACTACCAAAGAAGAATTGGGCTTGACTGCGCCAATAGCCATCCTCCACTAGATACATCATTCAGAAATCGGGCAGTAGATCGATGCGCGCAAACAAATCTTCTCGGACAGAGGGACCGGAAAGACTTCTACAGGCTTTCTTTTGCCCTTCTTTACCGCTTGGAACTAGATGTAATCGAACTTACACTTTCTGAAGGCAACCCAAAGAATAGACTGGTAGGACCCTATTCGCGCGCCTATGGACCAATGTAACCCAACCAATAACTAGTGCCCCCAATGGACCTCTCCTATGTAACTCCAACTGAAAAGGGGGACGGAATAGAAATTTTAGATTATGGGCTTGATTGATCATACTTGATGACTGATTGATGGATACCTTTGTTATATAGGTCCGATGAACCCCACGGATGTCGTCTATAGGGGCTACCTGAAGCTATTCTCCGATCGGTACCTATACCCACTATTCATGAACATAGTCGATGTTAAGGTTACTATAGATGGAAATGCTTCCACCTCAGCCCTTCTTTTTTTCTTAGTAAAGCGCGTAGAAACCCTCTAACCTAGGTCTCCTGCACTCTTATTTGGTTTAGAATTGGGACAAGCCAAAACCTTCATTATTAGTAAGATTGGTTGCTTTCTTGTCTTTAGGAGTGAATTGCGTAGGCTGAGGGGCTACTAGCGGGATTCTTTGGATAGAATAAGATCTTGGTAAGGTTTAGCAGGGGCTTGCCAGGTATTGACTGACCCTTGAAGTTGAGGTAGAGGCTGTAAGTATTGTTGAGACTGACCTAGCGGAAAGGGATCTTTTTCTGGTCTCACCTGAGAATGCTGTAGCGGCACTGGTTGAACCTGCTCTCGTGCCTGAGGCTCTTTGAAGTTGTTGCGGTTGAAGCTGAGTCTGCTGGACTTATTGCTGCTGAAACTGCGAATTCGCCTCTAGACCTGTCTGAGTGGAGGCCGTAGTCTGGTAGTGCTGAACTCTTGATGGTCTCTCTTTTATGAAAGGGATTGCTTTGTGACATGGGTTTACTCTTATTCTCGGAATTTCTTTGAGATTGTGGGCTAGTCTGAATCCTAGATGCAAGCTTCTTAGGTTGAGAAAGGGTGCTAGTCTCTTGTGCTTTCATCTTAACATTCATCAGTGAAGGCTCAAAGATGTCATACATGGGGGACTGCATCTCTCCTGAGTGCAGACCTTTACATAGACGACTGTGTCAAAGTAGTAAGAAAGGCAACAATAATGAGAGATGTCTCTCTCTCCCGGGCGCGTATTGCCGAAAAGAAGGTTTTGCTTCAGTTGTGCTACTCTAGACTTGCGGAAGACAGGTGCTGCATGCAAAGGCCTAAGTCCCGCGATGTGCAGAGAGTGTACACCAGTCTGTGCTCGTGCGTCCGGGTAATCCTCAGGTGGAGCCCAGGTGTCAGTGTCAAATGTGTGGCAGAAGCTAAATAGAAAAAAGAAAGGAATTTTGGCGCAAAAGGAAAGAAAGAGGGGGCGATCTCGATAAGCTAAGCAATTGACTCTTTGTTTGCGATTCTTTCAAGGAAGGCTCAGATCCAATATCGGTAGCGGAAGAATTAGACTTGTGTAAGCCTGGGGCCTGGACCATAAAGTCTAAAATTAAGTATAGGTTGGGGGCAGCAACAGAAGATTGGACTGGAACCCGAGAAGGACAAAAGCTAAAGACCCCTTAATTCGAATGGGGGCTGACCACTGAGCCCACTCTGGCCTCGCAGGGCGGGCCCCTTTGGTTTCGAGCTGGAGCTGCCATAGCTTATGGCTAGAGCAATGGGAGGGGGCCCCGACATAGAGAACAGTAAGGATAACGAGCGCTCCGCCCGCTTGGCGGGCGGCAGGAGCTGCGGGCAAGTGCTTGGTAGGCCAACTGCCCTGTGAACCGGGCAGGGCACTCGACGAAAGGGGGGCACATTGAGTAAGTACGATAAATTAGCCCCGCGGAGCTTTATTAAAAGCAAGGACCACTACGGGAGGTCAAACCAAGGAAAGGCCCTATGGAAGTCGGGGCTCGTCCCCGGTCAATATTGGATCAAACAATAGAGGGTCGTAGCACTGACCTCTTCTTTTTTTTATTCAATACAGGGAAAAGATCGTAAAGTTCCCTACCGATACAACAGACACTCTCAACGGATCCTCTGCGCGCCGGGCATACCTCTTCCTTCTGTGCGTCTTTCTCGTGGCGGGAACAGAACAACAGGGAAAGACCCGGCCGACCTGCCCAAGGTTCGAGGGGGAGCTTTATTTAAGAGATAATGGGTAGTGAATCGAAAGGCTTCCGTTTTTGTTCTTGGGGGCTCCTCTCGATCTTATTCGTAGTTGGGAAGGGAGAAGGAGTCTAAATCAATGGACATTAATGAACCATCATTGATGGACGTTGCACATGACACGATCATTTCGACTCAAGGTCCGACGCTAATAGAAGTTGCTGACTCTCCTAGTTTGAAGGAAAAAGGCAGGGCTTTTTTCGTAGTAATAGTGGGCGGGTCTCATGATATCTATGCCGGCCGTCGGAATAAAATTAAGGGGCCGAAGGACCATTCGATTCATTAAGGGGCACAGATCTAGGCCTCTTAGTTTGGTCAATCACCAAAGGCGAGGGGAACCACTATGGGCGAGACCCCCCGGCCTCTATTCTTTTGCATAGTCCGGGGGCCGGCCGCTGCAGAGCTGTGGGGCATAGCGGCGCCCTCGCCTGGCGCCATTCCCGGATCTAGCAGCAGACGGGCGGGCCGGGCCTGAATTCAGACCAGACTCTTCTTTATTTGAGCTGCTCCCACGCACGCAGACCGGAAGATCTCAGTTGTCCTGGACTTGAAAAGTACGTAGAGATCTTCGTGGGACCGGGGAGGGAGTCTCAATCGATCTTTTCTAGGATTCCTTATCACGCACGAAGATCTTTCCATTGATAGATAAGAGGGCTCCCCCCCTTGAACATACTCTTAAAGGTTAGGTAGGTTACTACCTGCCTCTACGGAAGAGGTTTACTTTGTACCGCCCGGAGGTCATATAGATAGAAACCCGAAGCGATAAGAACGAAAGGGTTGGTGTGGCCACAGCTACAGCTACTGGCGCTTCAAAAGGCTTAGATTTCTTCTAAGGGCGCTACAGCAAGCTACCTTTTTTTAGGTCGTGTAATAGGGAGGTGTAAGCCTCGAAAGCCTTTAGTACTTCGGTAGGGCGAGCAGCCCTTAAACCGGTTTGGAACTCTTCCCGTATTTCTGCATTTAATTCTCTATTCAGCCCGCCTCAAACAAAATGATAAAAAAGGATAGGACTATTGATTCGAAGTCACTACGAAAGGGTCGGTCAATAGCATAGCTCTTGATTTACCCGGTCTCCTTTCGAAGGAAAGGCCTTCGCTTTCCTAATCCGGTAGGGGGCCGGACGACTTTGTTTGCCCCAGCTTGGCTAATCGCATCCCCGCGCAACGACATTCCGCCCCTTACCATTCTCGCTCAGTCTTTGCAACGGATGGGGAGGCAGTCGTAGAAGCGAAGCCTATCGCCACGCCGACCATAAAAGACGAGATTGGGCCCCTTCTCAAAGATTTGATGGAATGGCCCACCCAAGAGCGCTTATGTAATATGGGAACTCATGGCTGGAAACAATCCTTCCTTATGGTTTTGATATCCGGTAGGAATAATCAGAATAAAAGTCCAGGTTGGTTGGTGAGCCTAGTGATAGGAGACTATCTAGCTTGGTTCGGAGAGCACTTGTTGGGTTAAAGATTTTTTTGTTGCTAAATGTTACGGCCTAAATGCTGAACTATTGACCCTACTTGTTCAGATGGGTGTTCACCCCAAAGTGTTCCCGGACCGCATGCATACATACGTAAGTAACTTAGTGCAACATGGCAAATTTAATTGAGAGGAATCAGCAAAGAAAAGAAAAACGGGTCAACATCTTAATGTGTATTTTTTATAAATTGTCCTCGGCTCGGGCTGAGGAGTGTCCACATGAGTTCGTTGAGGTGTCTACACAGGTTCGAAGACGCTCTTTTATATTCTGTCGAGAGTTCGGATTGATCCACCTAAGTAGAACGAAAAGAAGGAATTGGAAATTCAAAGGGGGAGCCAGAAGCTTCGCTTCCAGTAGCTTGCTGACTCTCCTAGTTAGAAGAAGGCTCTTTGGCGAATTCTTTAGATCTGGGTAGAGTCTCGCTCAGTAAAGAGAGTTGTAGATTCCTAGAAAAGGAGAGGAGCCTTGATTCTCTTCTTTGATCACCCAAAGGTTTAATTAAGGTTTTACCTGTTGTTCTATATCTATAGGACAGAAAAAACATCCAAGGAAAATGCCCTGCAACCAATTACTGCCTAGGGAACCCATTTGCTCGCCTGGCATGACAAACTAAAAACAGGATGATTGGAAACTGGCCTAGCATATGACTCTATAATCAGCTAGTCGGAATCGGAATATGCTTTTACCCTTGCTTGAACTGGTTTACTCACAGGCACTGAAACTAGATAGCAACTGTAATTGTAATTGGATGGCAAGGAAATCACAAGATTGCTCACTTAAAACCTAGCTTGCTGGCGCCTGCTGGCTCTCCTAAGTCTCTTTCCCTTTCCTGCAACTGGAACTCTAAATGTAGCACTGGATGTAAACTCTCACTTGAAGAATTGCTAGCTTGCCTATAATTCCTACTTGAATAAAAGAAAGGCCTGCTTTCAATTTAAAGGCTTCCTCACTCACCGTAACAGACTCAGGCGCTAGAGAACTCGAATAATGTCAAAAGAGGGCATTGGTATTTTAATAACCCAGCTTTCAAACTAACTTAGATATGCCATTTTATACACTCACTTACAAGAGGCAAATTTTAGAAATAGAAATCAACTTTCTTACACTAGGGGAGATTAAGTATATGCTCACTTCGGAAAAGATGAGTAAACAGTAACTTCTAAAAAGGAGAAGGAAGTAGATTAGGGCAGGCTAACAGCGCCAGGAAATGTATGAGAACTCGCCTGTCCTGCCTATGTAACCTATTCGATTCACTCTCCTGGTCCGACAGCAAAACAAAGTTAACTTCCACGGGATCTGCCATTGAAAGGAAATGGCCTGGACATTGCAGGAAATACCTATATATATAGGCTGCAGATGGCCCATAATATGCGATTGCGGATATACCTGAATACGCTATGGGGCTGATCTTTCCCTTGCTGGGATATTTTATGTGAGCAAGCCTCTTTCTTCCTTTGCTTTGGGACGAGGCCTGTTATCTTAATCCATCCAGAGGGAGTGCCCCATAAGCCAATGCCATTCCATTCATTTCCCGTTACCTGCCAGCCATTAATTAGTAATTTTGAGTTTTGTCCATGCGATCTAACAGACTAACAAGACAAGCAGTAGTTTTGAAAGGAAATCTGGCAAGGAAAATCCAGCAAACAAGGGATAGGCATAAGGCAAGTCTTTCCAGTAAGTGGTCGCAAGCGAATGACCTAGGAAGAAGCCCGTTTACAAAGAAGTTCACATGCCCTGCAACGGATCTCAAACAAAGCGTGGCTGACAGCGCCAAGAAAGTATGGCTTACACTTCCTTAGGAAGTCAGAACTGGTGGAAGTGGGCTGGCTAATTTACCACAAGGGCTCAGGCCTAATTGGACTTATAAAGAGTTTTCAGTCACAACGGAAGCAAGCTATTATTCCTTTCAAGCAAGAAGGACTCGGCTTACTCACCAGGAATGCACCCTAACCTAAGGGAGAGGGGATAAAGGGATTAGGCTCTGCAGATGAAATAAAGAAGAAGGATAGCATTCTCTACTTCTATCATTGGTGCTATCGTATATGAGGAGCTTTCTTTTTGGTATGAAAGGTGATGTGATCTTAAAAATAAAATATCATAAGATAAGGAAATGGGGGTCGTGGAATAATTGGGTTCGAGTCCCATAGCCCCAATGTGTCGAAATATCATGATTGGGTCGACCAGACCAGGCCCGGATCTTTTTTCTTTTTTTCCGGTATGCCGCTCCGCGAGAATGGAGCGAAAGAACCAAGTGGTTTGTGGTAATGTCAGAATTTGCACCTATTTGTATCTATTTAGTGATCAGTCTGCTAGTTTCTTTAATCTTACTCGGTCTTCCTTTTCCCTTTGCTTCCAATAGTTCGACCTATCCAGAAAAATTGTCGGCCTATGAATGTGGTTTCGATCCTTTCGGTGATGCCAGAAGTCGTTTCGATATACGATTTTATCTTGTTTCCATTTTATTTATTATTCCTGATCCGGAAGTAACCTTTTCCTTTCCTTGGGCAGTACCTCCCAACAAGATTGATCCGTTTGGATCTTGGTCTATGATGACCTTTTTATTGATTTTGACGATTGGATCTCTCTATGAATGGAAAAGGGGTGCTTCGGATCGGGAGTAATCACTAGTGATAGGGCAAAAATAGGGAGGAAGGACAAAGGAAAGAGTGATGCCTACATTAAATCAATTGATTCGTCATGGTAGAGAAGAAAAACGGCGCACGGACCGTACTCGAGCTTCGGATCAATGTCCCTAGAAGCAAGGAGTACGCCCGCGTGTTTCAACGAGAACACCGAAAAAACCAAATTCAGCTCCACGTAAGATAGCCAAAGTACGATTGAGCAATCGACATGATATATTTGCTCACATTCCGGGCGAAGGTCATAATTCGCAGGAACATTCTATGGTCTTAATAAGAGGAGGTAGAGTTAAAGATTTGCCAGGTGTTAAATCCCATTGTATTCGAGGAGTCAAGGATTTGTTGGGAATTCCGGATCAAAGAAGAGGCAGATCAAAATATGGTGCAGAAAAACCCAAATCGATATGAATGGAGGATGCCTCTGGAACTTATTTTTCTCGGTCAGGAGAGGTACGGAGTCACTCGACTTATAATTCTTTAGAATGGAGTATGTGAGTCTTTATTAAAAATTGAGATTAGAGCGAGCTCTATCAGTCCAATAGAAAGACAAGCCATACAAGGAAAGGAAAGGAAGCCATAGAGGCAAGTCTAAGTGCAGTTCCTATTGAGTAAGATCTCGCTAATATGGGCTAAAGAGAAAATAGGCAAATCGACCGTTTCACTTAGCGTACTTAAATCTCTCGCGAATTATAAACCGGCGCTATCTTGCTGCTGCTGGATATTTTTGATCAATAGAACAGGAAGAGGAGGATTTCTAGGAAAAGCTATGACTCAGAAAGAGGATAAGATGAGACTTTACCACCGTGGAGCGGCTTTTTGCAAAAAGATGAGGGAGATGTACGAGGGTGCTTATATGAGTAACTGGGGTCTTCGAATGTCTAATTCTTTGGTCAGAATTTCGATCGTTTTATTCTTCCTGATTTTTGGCTATTTCTTAGCTCTAGTAATCGGCTTAGATTTCAATCTTTTGGGGGATCAAGTCCCTTTGGTTCGATTAGTCCGATTACTCTTCATTCGACTTTTTGGTTGGGAGGTTCCCCTAATTATTCTTCTTTGTCTTCTTTCGGGCCTCGATGAGTCTACCCTGAATATGATGGATCCAGCAGGAGGTCAACCTGCTGCCAATCCTACAGCGGAGCAACCCTCTGACGGCGCATCGACCTCGGGCTGGAGAAGTTTCGAAGAAGGTGTTTTGTTACAATCTATGCCATCTTCAAACGAATCCAGCGAAGCGAGCGTGAATCAGCAACCAGTGATTCCCGAACTAGAGCCTCCGCTTCTCGATGACAACAGCCGGCGGGAAGAGCTCGCTGCTCGATTGAGGGCGAACTGGTGGGGCGTAGCTAATAACGAGCGAATCCTCGACTCCTTCGTCCAGAGTCAACTTTCAATCGAAAGACACGTAGAGGCCGCACTTGTGGCGGATGGGTATTCCCCTCAAGTTGTCTTTGAAAGAAGACATACGATTCGGGGATTTCTTTTCTATCCGGAGGGGCATGCGCTTCAGGGGGGAACTTACGCGGGTTATCTGAGCCAAATTGCAAAGTTTGGTACAAGGCAAAGCGTTCCCTATCAGCGAATGATCCGATCCGTCTGGAACTCTCATCTATTTTTAGATTAACGAATAGGGAGAGCAGATGCAAGCTTTTTCTTTAAATATCCGGCCAAATGACTACAGGATCATCGGTCTACTCTACCTCAATTCACCATTTCGAACTTTATACAGAAGGTTTTTCCGTACCAGCTCCTTCTACCTATACCTCAGTTGAAGCACCTAAAGGAGAATTTGGTGTCTTTCTGGTCAGTAATGGAAGCAATCGTCCCTACCGTCGTAAAATAAGAGCACCTGGCTCTGCCCATTCACAAGGACTCGATTCTATGTCCAAACATCACATGCCAGCAGATGTGGTCACCATCATAGGTACTCAAGATATTGTGTCTGGAGAGGTGGATAGATAGGACTGTTAGTTGCTCGATCAGGACCCTAGCTTTATTGCGAGCCAAAAACCTTGATGGATTCCCCTTTTGCGGCATTACCCCGGTAAAATTCATTTAAAAAAAAGATGAAATTATATAAGGCGGCACGAAAAGTTCTTTATTCCACACCTTTGATGATCTGCTGTTACAATATCGTCGCGGGATTTATTCACGTAGTATGGTATCCGGACAATGAGCCCTCGATTCTCATATTGGTGGGGGCTAGCTCGGCCATATATTATCTATTTCTCGCTAAAAGTTACGAGGAAAGAAAACTCTCTCTTCTTACTTTTATCTTTAATAACATAACACTCTTTTTTGTTTTACAAATGCCGGATCCATGCTGCTTCCTTGTGGTGCTCTTTATCCTAATGTTAGCTTCTTTTCATCTATTCTTGTTTTTTAGTTCTGATCTTATATTGGTATTTGATTTAATTTTTCTGGTTGTGCTCCTTTCCCGAATCTTCTATCATCATAAAATGGGTTCATGGGGATTCAGTCTGGTGACCGAGTTGATGTTTATAAGGCCATTATTAGAATTATGTCTTAAAAAAGAAGTTAGATCTGAAGAAGGATCTAGAATCGAACCTTTTTTCTATTTGATACCATTCTTTGGAATCTCTGTTTTTAATCTTTTTTATTTAGACTACGGTATAAAGTACATAGTAATTCACATAATATTCCTTTTCGCGGCCGCGGCTCTTATCTTTTTTACATTTATTGCCAATAGAAAAAAAGAACTCCTCATTTAATTTATATTGTATAATATGGGAAATTTAGCGATTGGTTATATCCTTTCAATATCACTCATGACGTTTTTTAAAATAAGTGCCGTTTTCCTGGTAACCAATGGAATGTTCGCTAGCGTATATTTTCTGAAAGCCCGAAGGATAAATAAGCCCTTGTTCGAAATACTCGTCGCGAATAATAGAGAGGGCATCCAAGCCCTCCTCTTAGTGTATATACTTATATTAGAAGTCCTGCTGACCCAATTAAATTCGGGGAATGATATGTATTCGAACTGGATTGGGTGGCTCGGGATTCTAATCGGGTTCCTGACCGCACTCAACTTTATATTCAAAAAATGAGTTTAGTCGGACCAGGACCTATTAGTTTCGCTCAATTACAAGAGTGCCTGCCAGCCGGGTGGCCCCGGATGTAGTCCGTTATATAAAGACGAGAAGGACGAACCGGGTAACCAAAGCAACTCTATTGTAGGAACAATAGGCTTGATCAGAGCCGTGCCAATTCGAGTCTGGCGAGTTGCAGAAAATCAAATGCATTCTCCATTGAAATAAAGCAGAAGACTTTGCTCCAGCGAGAAGGCTTCTAGGAGATTCAATTAACTAGATAAAGAAAGGACAACCAGAGCCCTCTTGTCTTCATCCCAGTGCTATTCATCCTGGAAGGCGAGATATGCCTTTCGAGGGATGTAGCGCGTTGAAAGATGAAGTTTCACTGGTAACATACGACATTTCCTGCTGCCTTTTTTTCAACAAACATAAGTGGTTTAGAAAGGCGAGGATAAGCAGGTATGGGATAATAGTCGATCAGGTATTAAAGAGGTCTAACGGCCCCGCAGGTAAAAATAAAATGAATCTATTGAACTCACACTAAGAAATAAGTCTTATACCTCTTACAGAGAGTGAAGTGAACCATTTGTCCTATGGTTCACGAACATAAGATTTACTTTATCTTCTCTCAGTTCCTCTCTTCCTTTCTTTAAAATCAAATTTAACATCCTTTCCTTGCATGTACTCTTATCCCTGAGTCTTTGATCAAGGAGTGGCTCACTGCCCAAAACTGCCATGGAATCGAGCCTTTTTGTAGGAGTCTTCGGATTTAGGACTAAGCGTAGGTCGAAAGCTTTCTTTTATTCCTCAGTTGTCGAGGAGTCAGCCTTTAACGAAGAGGAATGAGCTCCCCTTAGCAGACCTGTTAGATAGGAGCCCTTTTATCACGCCAAGAGCTAGTTTTTCTTGCTCACTCGGTAACTAGATTCGGGGAAGGTATCGGATAAAGTATTGATAACTTTCTATCTCCTCTTTTTACTGCTTGGTTAGAGTACTTACCGGTAGTCCTTTTTATAGTCAAAGTGTTTTCATACGTGGATCCATTTACAAAAGTAATAAGGGGCCAGCAAACGGTGAGATAGACAGAAAGCTTAGGATAGCAGAAGCGAATAAGCTTGTTGGTTCTAGGTAAATCAAAAGCTGGTTATAGAGCGATATAAGGTCTTCTCCTCCCATCGAAGTTATAAAGCCAGTTACTTGTCAAGTAAGTAAAATCCGTAAAATCTATCCTGTTCGTTTCAAGCCTAATGAAAGATAAAGCATCCAAGGAAAGCCTCGCCTTATCTCACCTGTTAGAAGCGAAACTGGAAGGTTTCTTAAGGGCAGGAAGAAGGCACGCAAGTTCCATCGTTGGATCACCTTCCATAAGATATAGTTAGTTATCCTATTAGGAGAACGACTTAATAATAAGACTAACATATATAACGTTACTAGGTAGGAGCTGCACTGTTTGGCTTTTATGGTTGGGAAGACTTCGCAACAGGTCCTATGTAGATGCCCGGCAGCTTAAACAATTCTTTGAAAGGCTCTACTTATCTTATATGGCAGCCTTATAGCATCGAGTTCACTCATCCATGCCATTGCCATTCAATTGCCACTCACACCAGGACATTTCCACGCCTCAACCCATGTGATTAAAAATTACAGACTTATTACACTAGCTAAGCCTTCTAGATGACTTACTCTCCCATAAAGATAAAGGGGGGGTAAGGATTCAAGAACTGCAGTAACTCAAGGAATAATTAACCTCAGTAGATACTCGAAGATAGCCCCCTCAACTACTGATTACCAATAGAAAAGAGACCATAGATAGCAGATTCCAATCGATGCAAGTCAGATAAAAACTTTTCACACTAGGTTCGATTGACCTGCTTCGGAATCTTAGTATTCATGGCTTTCGCCTCAACCAGGGATCTTAGAGGCTAGCTATAAGTGCAATTGCTTTACCGAAGGTAACATCAACGAAGGAAACTCTTAGAAGCAATCAACAGAAATACGTAGGGAGATCGCTATCAGAAAGGCAGGACTAGATGGCATTCCTAACTCTGACTTTATAGTTCAACCCTTAGAGTGTGAAAGGAAAGGGCAGAAGGTCTATTTTGGGGGTGGGTCTAGAGCGAAGGAAAGAGATGTGTGGCAGAGGGCAGTTGAGGCGTCGAACGAACATGTTTGAGTATGGATCGTAATTGAGCGAAAGATCTGCTCATCGAAAAGTGGTCAACAAGCGAAGGTCTTGACCTGGAAGGATCGAAGAGAGCGCTAGTAGATCGAGCTGTAGGCGCATGGACTTGGCTAGTGAAGCACAAACCACTCATCTTTCCATAGAGAGTGCTACCCTAGAGTAAGATGAGCGACCCCAGTGGCAACGTTAGTCCCAAGGTAGCTTGCTTACTTCACTAGTCAACGAAGTGCGTAAACAAATAAAGGGACATTCTTGCTTGATCATTTGCTCTGACTAGACCGCCCCCCCTAGAGTACGAGACTGGTTCGCCATAGGTCCAAAGTTGGCTACTGATTGGATAGAAATCTCGCGCAAACACGATTTACTTATTTTATGACGTGACGAAACCCCGGAAATTTGACATCAATTGCTCGGAAAAGCTCTTTTGGAGGTTATCTTTTCAACTATTATCGTACTATAAGCATTTTCGAGAATCGACCTTTAAACTATGCCAAAAACCCGGTTTTTTAGCCGGCCTAGCCGATTTGTAAACAAACGTAGTGTTATGCTTAACACATGCATGATGGAAGACAGTTCCTTTTCTCAAATATGAAAGATCGTATTTGAAATCAACCGAAGAGAGGCAAACAAAGTCTTTTCTTGACCTCGGAGCCCTGGAATGAATATTCAGAAAGTTTCGCTGCTCCAAAGCTGTGTCGGGAAAGCTACAACTCTGAAACCAACCTGTCTAAAGCAACTTTGCAGTTTCACTACCGAAGCTTACACCATCTTCTGATGAAGGGGCAACCGGTCGATGGTCAACAAAGGATCCTATCTCAAACTCAAAGGCATTTCTTTCTCGTGGGTAGAATCGCTATTTTAGGACCCGATAGCCAACAGGGGATCAAAAGTCGCATTTTTATTGACTGAGATCGGCCTTCTAGAGCTTCAAGAGGGGAAAAACAGAGTAAAAGATTGGATTTGTTAAACCAACCAAATTCAATGTCTTTCTTTGACTCTACACCTTTACACTCTACTTGAATAAAGGGTTTTGCCTCCGAAGCTAACAGCCGCTAAGCAGAGGAGAAGCTAAGCTATACAAAGCAGTCTAGACTAAACGAACAACATGGGACTCAAAGAAGGATCAATCCATTTTAATCTCTCCCTTAGAAGGGAAATCAACCAATACTTTTTACAAAAGGGAAACTCATTAAATTTCCTCTCCTTATTGACTAACTCGCCTAACCTACAAGCGGAAAGAAAGAGTTTCACCTCCTCTGCGAAACCTCTGCTCGAAGCCGAATTCCTCTTTTTCCTTTTCTGCGTGCCATTCCTGCGATGTTTCAAACAACACATGTAAAAAAAATCATAAGAGAAGAATTGGAAAGGAAAGTCGTACGCCAGGTTCACCAGGTTCTATCACTGCAGGGCTCAATCATGCTAGTTAGGCTATATGCTTAACACATGCAATTCTAACGAAGTGCTCTTGGACGACTGTTTGATATTCCGTCAGTAAGTTAGTGCATCAAAAAAAGATTCATGCTCTTCCTCTTTGAAAGGAAAGGGGCTTTAGTTAAGTCATCGATTCCAATCCTATATTTATTTATTTTTGTTGGTCAACAACCACATATCATTTCTTTTCCTTCAAGACTTCGGACAGAAAGAAAGTCCGGAGGGAATCATTGAGAAACAATCAATCATGCCTCAACTGGATAAATTCACTTATTTGGTCATGTCAGAATTTGCACCTATTTGTCTCTCATTCGTGATCAGTCTGCTAGTTTCTTTGATCTTACTCGGTATTCTTTTTGTTAATCCAACACGAAAGTTGCCCCCAGGCGAGGTTTTTCCTATGGCTCTCGGTCTTTTATCTTGATTTGGCACTCCTCTTGCCTTTAGTGCCGACACCGTACCTTCCCCTTCGGATTTGTTTACGTATACTTCCGACATGCTGGAAGACTCGGCGAGTTCCGGGCGTAGTAGTAGTACCTCAGCGGTCAATCAACCGCTTCCGGGGGAACAAGCTATGCCTCCCGCTCTTCCTGTTATGCAGGAAGCTGCTCTGCCCTACCCCTATCAAAATAATGAGATTATAGGGGGGGACAGTGTTGAATCCATCCAACGGAGGCTTTTGGGGAGATTCCCCTCTCCTTCTGCCCATGAGATTCAAATGGCCCGGATTGAAGCCGAAGACCTATTCGAGGTCAAGGTCGATATCTGTCAGGTCATGGCGGGCCTTCACCCAAGCGGGGATTGGATGGGACGGGGGGCTAGAGCTCTGGATAATCTTCGTACCGCCACAGGGGAGGAGTCCTTAAGTCAGCTCCTTCGAATGCGTGAGGACCTAGAGACTGCAGGTTTGCAGTCTGCAACCTTCCGGCAATTGGCCGACAGAGTGCCATTCCGGGCGGATGCGGATCAACACGCAGCCACCTAGGACAGGATGAGATCGCGTGCAAGACGCGACGCTTCCTATGATATCTGAGGTCTTTTTCCCATGCATCGGTCAACAACCAAGCACAGCTCTCTATAGTTATTCACTACTCCGTGCAGGAAAGACTCTCTTTCTGTCTGGAGGGAATTTTTTTGTCTCAATCAATCATGCCTCAACTGGATAAATTCACTTATTTCACACAATTCTTCTGGTCATGCCTTTTCCTCTTTACTTTCTATATTCCCATATGCAATGATGGAGATGGAGTACTTGGGATCAGTAGAATTCTCAAACTACGAAACCAACTGGTTTCAAACCGGGGGAACAAAATCCGGAGCGAGGACCCCAACAGTTTGGAAGATATCTTTAGAAAAGGTTTTAGCACCGGTGTATCCTATATGTACTCTAGTTTATTCGAAGTATCCCAATGGTGTAACGCCGTCAACTTATTGGGAAATAGGAGGAAAATCACTTTTATCTCTTGTTTCGGAGAAATAAGTGGCTCACGAGGAATGGAAAGAAACATCTTATATTTGATCTCGAAGTCCTCATATGGCGCTTCTTCTTCAAATCCTGGATGGGTGATCACTTATAGGAATGACATAATGCTAATCCATGTTACACACGGCCAAGGAAGAATCAAAAAATAATAAAGGTATTGCTTTTTTTATAATAGTTGCTCGTTCGTTCATAAATTCACTTGACCACTTGTTAGTCTTGCTACACGACACGAGTCTAGGGTGAAGTTGAAGCAGACACAGGCAAGTAAAGTCGACTTCACAAGTGATTCAACATACCATATATATGGATGGAAATCAAAAAGGAGATAAGGGTCACGCCCAGGTGGCTCCCGCAAGGTAACGACTTCAAACTCAAACAAAGAACGTTCTTCTCCAAGGCATGAGTCAAAGAAAATGCTGTATGTATTGCAAGACCCGTCGATAAGCTAAGGCTACGACATGAAGGAAGGCCAGAAGAACTACAGAACCACGCCCACCAGAGCTAAAGGAGACCGAAGGGACTTGCGGGAGGTGAAGGTCGCTGGCTTGCCCGTGGGCCATGGTATCTGACGGGACATTGGCCTCCCTCCCGCTACGGCTCGTTGTACGTTCCTTTAGCTATAGGCGTGTCCAATCCGAGAATAGTCCGTTCCACATAGTGCAAGGAAGCTCAGTGGGGTTTCATACGAGGGTCCTGCGTATTGTGCCATCGTCCAACCAGTACAGTACGGCCATTTCAAATCGCCCCGCGAAGCTTTCGGGAAGAGGGGTAGTCTTGCGTTCAGAAAGAAAGGTTATCGAGATTATAAATAGCTCTTTTTAGTGGGGAGGAATAGTGCTGGAAGGGAGCGAGACCAAGTTAAGCCACTAGGAGAGTAAGCCCTTCCCACGTGTAAAGTTTAATAAAAGAATGCAGCCTCAACCAAAGAGAGAAACCTGCGTCGCCAGCGGCGCAGAACGCACTAATCCGCGACTAGCAAGTTTTCCTAAACCAAACTTAATAAATTGAATTGTTACTTTTAAAAAATGCTTGCTGAAAATAAAAGAAATAAAAAGGATCGAGACATGAACCTGACTCTCTTAGCATAGGCTTGAAGCCCTTAGTTGCAAGGTCTTTGACTGTGCCCAAGAAAGGGATGTGGGACAGGCAGCTAAGCAAAAACCCAACCCCGCAGTACAAGTACAACTACAAGAGGGGGCCCTACCAGTCATAGTCTTCACTCTCCCCCATAAGAACTAAATTCCTGGGGTTCTTGCTTCCTTAGTAGACATCCCATCTTGTATCTGTATCTGTCATCGAATGTGAGCCCTCATCTCATGCTCCTACTACCTCTTCACTTCAAGTGGGAGTGATGGACGAGTGAAGATCGCCAACTCTTTCTTCCCCTTACCATCCCGGATACCGTGAATTTACTTCAACTTCAATCGGACCGACTTTTCAAGAAAGATCTGAAAAGATCCTAGATAAGTATAAGATAGTAGCTGGTTGATCTCCAACTTCTTATCGTTTTTATCAAGTGTGACCGGAAGCCCATACTTCTGCTTTTCCTGATCCTTTTAGTGCTAGAACTGGGAACCTGGTTGTAAAGCTCATTCCCGGTCTTGCAACTTGGTCATTTGATCGATTTCCTTGTAAATTCCTAAGCATGAGAGGAAGGAACCGCTTCTCTGAGCCCCCGCTTTTGGGGGGCGGGAGACGCTATGCCAGATAGGGCGCCTCAAATCTTCGAAAAATCACACGCAGAGGGATTGTGGAAAGGCCTGTAGATGTGCTGTGCCCCTTTTGGGGATAAATTCCTCCCGGTCCGGATAAGCTAACTCTTCCTTTTGAGCCAGGGCCAACCGCTATGACCTGAAAACCCAGCTCTTTACTTCTCCTTTTTAATAAAAGGTTCTATGGCTCTTGTGCTAGAATTGCTTTTGTTTTGAGAGCTCAATTAAAATTCTCGTAGTGTAGTTACAGTCAACACAGTAGCTTTAACGTGAGCAGCGCTTCACTCTTTATCTTATATAGGCTATACACCGTGCTGAATGAAAAAGTTTCCCCATTCCCATTTCATTTGTAAGGAAAACCCTTACCTCCTCTCTTCCAACTAGAATGCTTTTATTTGAGGCGTTCTGGTTTTGCTTATGCACACCGGGCTGCTTAGTCGGAATAGGCAAGCGGTGTGTTAGAGTGATGGATATCTAATTTTTTTCTGAAGCATCAGTTGAACATTTACCAATATGGGTCGCAGTTGGATCCAACCGGTCCCACTCGTTATTCACCCAGCGATTGGATTGAGATTTCCTTTTTGGAATCTTCTCCATCTGAATTAAGTTGTCAGAACTGCCACCATCGAGAAGAATGCGCACGGTGGTGCCTGCAATCGACCCAGAAAAGTAGATAGTACATTTGCCAGAAGTGCCATGATAAGCTTGTAATGACAAATGATGCAAAGTTGGAGAATCATCCGACGGAAGATCCGGTGGAACAGGTTCGGCGATAACGGAGGAGGAAACATCGCCATCCGGTTCATCCACCTGCAGAATCATGTATTGGCGATTCGGACATTTGTGCTTCCACGAGAATTTATCGTCACAAGTAAAGCACAGCCCCTTTTCCCGTCGCAGTTGCATTTCTGCTGCCTACAATTTATTCACTGGTGGCAGAGGCTTAGTTGGAGGAGACGGAAGGAGAGGCGGCAATGCAAATTTAGTTGACGTAAGTAAAGGAGAAGATGAATTGGACAGAGAGGTCCGCATCGATGAGGAAGGCACCATTGGTTTTTCTCGTGCAACCGAACTCTGTAACAGGTAGCGCTCGTCAAATGAACGAGCTAGTGATGCAGCTCGTACTAAGGAAGTAGGAGACTGGGAGTTCGATTTCCTTTATGACTTTCGCCTTGCACCTTACACTAAACTTAATCTCTTGCACGCGCATATAAGAATACCTTGCTGGCTATTCCTTATTCTTGATAGCACAGGAAAGAGAGATTCCGGAATCTCTTGACTTCATAGCTACACACCTTTCAAACATACTTTTCTTATCTTACTCCAAGAGCGAAAAGAACATCATATCATCGGTTATACTATCCTGGAGTAGTTAGAGTAGTACTTGCTAAAGCTAAAGGTTTTATCCTGCTAAAAACAGTCTACTAGATAAGCCAAGTAAAGAAGTTAGTGCCAGATACAGATGAAATGGTTTTATCTCCTTTTTACAGAAGTCAATTCCTCCTCCCCCTAGGGGTACTTATATTTTTAAGCTTTAGAGAATCCAGGTCCAGCGGAAGACTAAGTCAGGTACGGTATAAAGTCCAATCAATCTCCTCCAACAGAGGGCTCTGACCTGACCACAGTCAATCAGTCAATTGTTCTGGTTCTAGAGAGTATAACCCCGAAAAGGGAAGACTCCTCGTTTTTAGCCTGGTCCAGGTGTGGCATATCTTTCCCATATAATAGCCCCGACAAGAGCAGTTACGTCTTTTGCTAAAGCCCTTACTAATTTACTAAACCACCAGGAACTAGTCTGGTTTGATATAAGCCTAGCTACCACGGAAAGCATAGTAAGAAGAGCTGAAAAGATAGCCATCTTACTCTCGGACCTTACCTTAATAAAGGAAGAACTTAAGCCTTTCTTAATAAGAAAAAAAAACCCTAAGATGAGCTAACTTGGCTTAGTGCAGGAAATGGAATCACAGCAAGAAAGAAGGGTAGGGCATACCTTTTTTAGGATTTATACCCTAAAATGACTGAACTGCCTTTCGAACTGAACTACCACGACTCTCGCTAACTGCATCGGATTATGTGGATAAAAGAAGACTAGCTGAAAGAGCTGATTTGATTCCGAACCGCTACGCTTTCTTATATTAGTGTAGTGTGCTTAGCGCTTCCTGAACCAACTGAAGCAAGGAATATGAGGATCAGAGCGCTAGCATCCCTTGCTCTCGATCGATTGCTCACCACCGTCTGATCCGAACAAAAAAAGGAATAAAACAGGGGACACCTTTAGGTGTAAGCATGAAGTACGCCCGAGCAAGCTTAATTCTTTCTATGTAATAATCGTGCTAGGCTATACCCCTTAACCTTTTGGTATCCAGAAAGAAAAGCAGAGGAAGTGGCTTTAATCCTATTTTCTATCAAAGCAGGTTCTACCACTGCAGGCCCAATCCTACTACCCGGATGATCGTCTTGGGTAAGATCTTTCTATATAAAAATATCAGTTGGATGCCTACACGCGATCCTTTTTTGCTTCCTTATATCGAGGAAGAGAAAAAGAGGCCTATATAAAAAGTATAAACAACTTAGACTTCTATCAAAACACGGATCACGCTGTATATAGATTGGGTGTATGTCTGAGCTATCTTCTTTGTACCATCTAGAGGGCTGGCTGTGATTTCCCGGGGGCAGGACACGAAGCCCCAACATGCATGGTCTAGCACTACGATGGAAACTGGATGTCTGCCTTTGTGAGTACCTATCTTCTTATAGGAAATTGCTATTCAACAAAATATAAGATTGCAAAGATTCAGCCTTAGTCTTAGTAGAAGTGGGTAGCGGCACTGGGTAGACGGTCTATCCCCCTTTAACTTAAGTAGTATTTCCAATTTACTCTCTGTCTCTAAAAAAAACCGTAACACAGTCCAGAATAAGTGTGACCGCGTATATATACTATATAGAAATCCTGCCCCACACCCGTGGGTAATGCCCCCGTAACTTCGGGAGAAGGTTTCTGAACTCCTATCTATTTAACCTGGCCTATCTTCTTTCTAACAAGAGGACGCTAAAATAAAAATGATAGCGAACTAGAAAGGTACTGACAGAAGCAAAATATCAAATCATAGACACCAGAGAGAACAATCATACCAGATGATAGCTATCTTAGAGAACGCTAATTTTACCATCAGAGAGAGCACCCTATTACATACTGCCTCGCTCTTCTCTCTATCGTAGTTCTTTCTCGCAGAGTAAGGATTTTTAATTCTATACTAGTTCCTATGGCGTAAAGGAAAACATTTCGGCTATTACATCTATGTGTCAACGACTTTCAGGAGTCTCTAAAAGAGGGGATGGAAGCAAGGTCCAATCCCATTATTCTAACTTATAATATAATACGATCATCTCACAGATGAAGAAGTGAGCAAGCCTTTCTCCAATGGATTCTAACAGCGCAGACTAGGCATCTTTATCTGATTGAAATTTCTATATTAGTAATAAAGCCCCTTGTTTCAAGGCTAGGGCTTCCCGGTTTAATTGCTATTTGAATTTAGCAGCATTGGTCGTAGAATCAAATATGGACGGTGACTGACCACTAGATCTGTCGATCGAGACCTTGCTTCACCACGCCCAAGCCAGAGGCTAAGTAGAGTTGAATAAGGTGAAGATGGATACCGCTCATAAAGAGCTTGGTTAAGTGGTATGCCTTGCTGGTTGGATAATAATCCCTTCCCTTTCTTTCGACTTGTTTGCTACTGGATTATTATAATATAAGACAAACAGGTTTGCATTGGTAGCTATTCTTAGCGGTGACATACTTAAATAAAAAAAGTAATATATAATTATTGAAGTTAAACCACGGGAAAACAAGCACAGGAAACAAGACAACGGCCAACGATCCGTTCCCTCACTCCCAATAGAATAGATAAAGCAATGAGAAACCGCTCGGGACCCATATTCCCATGGTCCCTTCGCTCAACAAAAAGTCCTAACAATAAGGATATTATCTAACAGATACGCTGTCTAACTACTATAACAAAGTCATCAACTTAGACTACTTTCAGATAAGGGTTGTTATACAAGTCAACTATTATCGTACAGTGATGATCGAAATAACTTTACTATTGGTGATCCCTTTTCGAGTTCCTTCGTTCCAGTCCAGCGGCGGAAGGGGAGACTTAGATCTTGTCTTCTTTCGCTTGGTTTCCCCAAGTGGTGTGGTTGGGGAGTAGAGACCTCGATGCCGGGTCGTTCCAAAGTGACTTGCTATTGCTGCTGCAGTGCTTCTTGTTCATCATCCAGGAATTTCTTTAGAATCTTTGCCTTCCTTACCAGGAATTGGATTCGAACCAAGTATAAGATATTAAAAATGTCGGAGAATACCCGGTATTTGAGTTTTTAGCATTAACACGATTAAATCTTATTTTTTCCTAGCCGATTCTTCCCTTCCTTCTCTTCTCACTCCCCGGGTTTAGCTCTCGACTGGAGGGAGAGGGGAAAGGCATTAGGGATAGCTGCTTTCGTCTCCAGTAATGGATGGATAAGGTGGTAGTGCAAAATTTCGGAGTAGCCGTAATGGAAGAACTTTTAGCTTGGTTGTCCGGCCCTCTTCACCGATCTCCTAGCCCTACGAATAAAACATCTCCAGGCATCTGGTTTCAAAGAGAGATTGGTTAGTCGCCTTCTGTTCATTCTTACCCCTGACTACCGGACCCCATTGGTTAAGTTGGGGCAGGAATAACTATCGGACTACGATCACAGGCCGGGCCGACCCTCCTTTATTATAGTCCAGTTGGAGAGGGAAAAGTCCCATCCGTTCTAGAAGTCGCAGAGAAATGGAAGGCTTCAATACCGAAAACTACAGAGGCATGATCTAAAAATGGGTAAGCCCGGTGGTTCAAGTTTAGCCTAGCCAACAACCAACATCAGCTTCTAGGGAGAGTAGGAGCTCCTGTTGCTCTAACCATTCTAGTGAACTGGTCGAGACCAGCAGCTATGAATACCCTGTGCCGGTTGTGCAAAGGCAGCCTCAATAAAAATCAATAAAAACGTCCTCCTAAGGAAATAAAGCTGATTCACCTCTACCCTATTGGTTAATCCCGAAGGAAGCTTCCCTGAGAGAGCTGCTATAAGATAAGCTCTTTTTCCATTTAGTTTAGAGAGAGTAGCTTGCTTTCCGTGGTCTGTTATTCCTTTCCTCTAATGACTCAATTTAAAACCTACCGAAATGGCTCTTTAAAGAAGGGCTTGATTCACAGGAAAATTTTGAGAGGGTCGACCAGTCCATTTATCATCCCACCACTCACCCAAGCAAGCTCAGGAGTTCAGGTGCTACAGATTAGTGAAGCCCGATCGTAAGTAACTTCCACAAAAGATATCTAGTTTTTGTCCTTCTCGGGTTCCAGTCCAATCTTCTGCTGCTGCCCCCGACCTATACTTAATTTTAGACTTTGTGGTCCAGGCCTCAGGCTTACACAAGTCTAATTCTTCCGCTACCGATATTGGATCTGAGACTTCCTTGAAAGAATCGCAAAAAAAGAGTCAATTGCTTAGCTTATCGAGATCTCCCCCTCTTTCTTTCCTTTTGCGCCAAAATTCCTCTTTTTTCTATTTAGCTTCTGCCACACATTTGACACTGACACCTGGGCTCCACCTGAGGATCACCCAGACGCACGAGCACAGACTGGTGTACACTCTCTGCACATCGCGGGACTTATGGCTTTGCATGCAGCACCTGTCTTCCGCAGGTCTAGAGTAGCACAACTGAAGCAAAACCTTCTTTTCGGCAATACGCGCCTGGGAGAGAGAGACATCTCTCGTTATTGCTGCCTTTCTTACTACTTTGACACAGTCGTCTATGTAAAGGTCTGCACTCAGGAGAGATGCAGTCCCCTATGTATGACATCTTTGAGCCTTCACTGATG